GAAGAAAACATGAAGATATTATCAACATATTCAATTTCAGTGTCAGCAATTTTTGCATAGGGAGCTCGTATTGTAAATATTAGCTGCTTATCATCCTGAGTTATACTGAATGAAGGTGTGATCATGCTAAAAATACAGATACCATCTGACTAAAATGCCTGAGTTGGTGAAATAATATTCTAACGGACACGTCATTGCTAAAAATAGAATACAATTGTCATAGCATTTTATTAATTTGAGAAAAAAATACATCAAAAAATTAAGCTTTGATATTTTGAGCCCGATGACAGAGATCTGATGATGTCAAGCCAATAACGTCTTTCCATATCGATGTAGTCCGAATCAACTACTGTAGGAGGTGTTTCACTAGTGGGCGGCTGAAATGCTACATATTGATTGCAATCGAGATATGAAACAATCGTTTCAAAACAACTTTCTAGAACTCATTCAAAAACTACACTTTTATTGGAATTAAAGTATTAATCAAGTTGTCAAAGAGATAATTAAGTAAATTTATTTCTGACGGACGAGCGAATGGCCATCAGAAATATTTTAACAATCTTTTAACATAAAAAGGTTTTTATTTAAATTTTGTTAACAATATGAAAACTTCTATGAGATTCTGTGATGGAGATCATACAAATGGGCTTCCAAGACCCAAAAATTTCACAGCTTGAGGCAAACTGCCGACATCTGCTCTTTAAATGTTTCTTATTCATCGGACATACTTCTTATTAAGTTTAATAAACAATATAAAGCCATTCTTCTTAATTCACAGCCTTACGTATGAGCAGTGTAACTTGCTTTGATAAAGTACATTCCAACAATATGGATAAATTTACAAACTTGCAGTTCTGTAGAACCCGAGGGTTCCAAAGTTTCTTATTATGGTTGAGTTCAGTAGTAGAACAAAAGACTACAAACCTGAGTGGACTCAAATTCAGAATTTACAATACAAGAATATAATTCTTAATCGGCTTAAAAGTTGGCTATAGTTGTAAATTAATTATCTGTTGACAATTGGTACACAAGCGCTGATTTATTACTTTATAGAGGTAAACCATACTTCATCAATCTGTAGCAACAGTTCTTTGATTAAAAATATTGCAGACTTTACTAGTTTTTGCAACTACAAGATCTTCCCTCAATCTTTTTATACTTTATCCATAGTAGCGCAGGATAGACAAAATTCACCTAACCTTCTTATGCAATTTAAAATGCCTACCGTTTGCGGAGACATATCTGAAGCATTTTTTTTCCGTAAAAAAAGCATTTACATATCCTAAAGGTTTTGGTAATTACTGAAACTACCTAAATGCCTTTAATAATGCGAAAGTGTCTCAGCTCTAGCTGCGTAAAGAGGCTTCCGGTTTGATATGCCAAACGCGTGAAGTGCTCTTACGTGATTTCGGCAGTCGTATTTGCTCCCAATGTTTATCGAGAAAGGTCAAGAAAATGGCGAATGACACTGAAACATTACTTTGCCGATTCCGTTGCTAGTATTTTTTTTATCGATGCAGGTAGCAACTTGAAAGACTTGTAAGCACACCTATTA